GACGGGCCCTGGTGTGTATTACCTCGAGTAAGAAAGAGGCAAGTAAATGGGGACATCATGGGAAGAAGGAGCCAGAGTAAGGAGACTTTGGAGGAAGAGATAAGAGAAAATTATAGCACACACCCACACAGACTTGTACCAAAATGTTCGCAGCAACCTTATTTGTAATAACCCCAAAGAGAGAGAACCCAAATTTCCATCCACAGGTGACAGGATGAACAAATTACGGCAGAGTCATACAGTGGAATACTACTCAGCAGTGAAAAAGAATGAGTTGTCTATACAATGTAACATGGATGAATCTCAAAATAATGATGTTAAGTGAAATAAGCCAGACAATACTGAGTACACACTCAGTGTCCATTTATATAAAACTCTAGAAAATCCAAGCTCATTGAAAGTGACAGAAAGTACATCAGTGATTGCTAGAACAGGGGTGGAAGGAGGAAGATACAGATCACCAGCAGACATAAAGAAATTTTTTGAGATGATGGATATGTTGTTTATCCTAACTGTGATGATGATGTCATCTGTATACACAGTCAAACTCATCAAATCATATACTTTATGTGGACCCACTAACCCCCTGCCATCAAGTAGATTCTGACTTACAGCAACCCTTTAAGGCACAGTAGAACTGCCTCATAGGGTTTCCAAGGCTGTAGATCTTTATGGAAGCAGACTGCCTCATCTTTCTCCCACAGAGCAGCTGGTAGGTTCAAATTACCAACCTTTTGGTTAGCAGCTGGATACTTTAACCACTATGCCACCACAGCTCCTTCATATATACAGTTTATTATATATCAACTGTATCTCAATAGAGTTGCAATAAAATTAAAAAAAAAAAAAAAAAAAAAAAACCTGCTAGGAGCTCTGGTGGTGTAGTGCCTAAGGCATTTAACTGCTAACCAGAAGGCTGGTGGTTCAAACCCACCAGCCACTCCTCGAAAGGAAGGTTGGGCAATCTACTTCCGAAGTGATACTGCCTCAGAAACCCAAGGAGGGGTCGCTATGAGTCAGATCTGACTCGACAGCAGTCAAACCTGCTTAGTCCTGAAGAGAATGGACTTGTTGGAGAAAATGCCCTGAAAAGAGAGAGGAGATAAATTTAGCTGGATCTGAGTTGCTGAGGGTACCAATTTGACCTATGAGATCTTCTCAAGTAAGCTTAGCAGCCACAAAAGGCTCTCCCAGTTCTGAGTAATGGGACAAGGGAGACTGAGAAAGAAAAATGACTGAACTGAAGGCCTAGATTTGCTATTTGGATGCAAAAATATTATTAGCACCCAAAGGTTTATGGGTAAAATGTTGAAATCTTATTTGCTTAACACCTGATTCTTTTAGGCTTGGCTTCATTTCTCTCAGGATGCTGGTATCTCTGCCCAGAACCTAACCTGTTCAAACTACACTAAATGTGGCATAAACCAGCTAAACAGCTGGGGATTGGGAGGGGGGGACATGGCAGGGGATAACTCTGCCCCGATAGTATGCTGTTTTTAGGTACTGTCAAGTTGATTTCAATTTATAGTGACTCATGTGACAGAGAAGAACTGTTTTCTAGACTGTAATCTTTTGGGGAGCACATTTCCAGGTCTTTCTCCTGAGGAGCTCCTGTGTGGGATCACACAGTTAACAGCCAAGTGCTTTCAGTTAACAGCCAAGTGCTTTCACCACTGTGCCACCAGGCCTCCTTTACCTGACTCTATTTCTTCCTGGGCAGTGGAGGAGGGGGGACTGCAAATGGAGAAGGTAGAAGGGTGCACACTACAAACCCCAGCTTGACCAAACCAAACCAAACCCACTGCCGTCAAGTCGGACCCCACTCATAGCGACCCCTCCTTGGGTTTCCGAGGCGGTATCACTACGGAAGTAGATCGCCCAACCTTCCTTCTGAGGAGTGGCTGGTGGGTTTGAACCGCCAGCCTTATATAAGCAGGCTAAACTCCACCTTCCTGAGTGCTTTCAATCTTTCAAAATGGATGCAGCTGAATATTCTTGAAATTCAAGCGAAAGCAGTACCTCTAGGGTAGGAGGAAAGAAGCCCTGGTGGCGAAGTGGTTGAGCATTAGGCTGAGCATTAGGCGGCTACCCCGAAAGGTGGCTTTTTGGCTTTTCAAATTCACCAGTTGCTCCATGGGAACAACCCACAGGTTTCCCAAGGCTATAAATCTTTACAGACGCAGACTGCCACATCTTTCTCCCGTGGAGCATCTGGTAGGCTGGAATGGCTGAATGTCTTAACCACTGTGCCACCAGAGCTCCTGATGCCTATCGACTTGAAGGCAAAGAGTCAGATCCAAGGAGGATGGGTCAAGAGTCCTTAAGACCTGGATGCTTTTACTACAGATTCTAAACCTGTCTTAAGCTGGATGAGTTCTCTACTTCCTCTCCACCCTGCTCTTCCCTGTCCTTCCCCATTATCTCTGAAGCCAAAGACAATGTCCCCAGGTAGCAATCAATTGTTCTGTACTCTCTGGGCCCCTTCCCAAACCTCAGCCTTTAGGATGATGAGAGCTTTTATCAGCAGTGCCCTGTGACTTTGGTTTCAGATTTTTTTCATAGGGGCAGGAGCAAAAATGAACTTTTTTTTTTTTTTTTTCCATTTATACCAAGCAACACATTCAGTATACAATGTTGTCATTATGTGCCGTCAAGTTGGACCTGACTCATTGCGACCCCTCCTTGGGTTTCTGAGGCAGTATCACTATGCAAGTAGATTGCCCCATCTTCCTTCTGAGGAGTGGCTGGTGGGTTTGAACCGCCAACCTTCTGGTTAGCAGTGAAGTGCCTTAGCTACTATGCTACCAGAGCTCCCCAGTATACAATAGCACTGTAAAATGAGACAATTGCTTGAGTCTTGCCTATTTCAAACATAAAGGAATTTGAGTTTTGACTGTCAGACCTAAAGAAATTCTGGTAACATTACTAACAAAAATTGCCTAGCAGGCTTGGCAGTTTCTCAACAAGTCACCAGCACTGGAATAAGAATCACCAGGAACGCTTGTTACCAAGGTCAGTTCCGGGACCCCTGGTAGACCTAGGGAATCAGGTGCTCTAGGAATGGCTCCTGGAAATCTGAAATTTTAACAAGCTAATCCTGGTGATTCTGATGCATGGTAAGCTTCGAGATCCTCTGCTTTAAAAGAACAAAGTCTCTTTGCTCCTTCTTTCATTTTTTATTCTTGCTATGTTTTTTGTTTCCTGGGAGTCTGAGGTGAGATACTCTTAAAAATGTAGAACAGGCATAGACTTGTGCTCCTGGCCCTGCAATGAGATGGGGAAGAGTGGGTGGGGCTGGGAAAAGGTTTGCCAACACAAATATTGTTCCATCAGGACATGGCAATTTTGCCAAAAAGTTCACAAGGATGTGCCATTTGCTAGTGAAGATGGCCTGGTTCACTCTGCTCCAGGCTGAGGAGTCTGGTATCATGGGCAGAGATAAACAGTGTTGAGGGTGGGGGGAGAGAATGGAGAGTTGGGCCTATAGTAGGGGGTTCCTGGAATTCCTTTGGTCCCAGGAAAAGGTGTGAGCTGAGATAGATCCTCAGAGGAGGAGATGGGGAGAAGCAGTGTAGACCTTAACTTCATTTAGAGCTCAATAACCATACAGGGTGAAGGGCATAGTTCCTTGCTCCTGATTTTGGGGGTCAGAAGTTGGGAGTGGAAGCCAAGGTACAAAAATTCCAGGACACGAGGATGCTAAATTTACTTTACTCATTTGCCCAATGGATGATGGTTTCTGACCAATTCAAAAAAGACTTCGAATTCTGTCAGGGTTGGCGGCAGTGCTTCCATTTAGTAACCTGTCCCACCCACACTCTTGGGTAGAGACTCAGTGAACATCTTCCTTGCCTTATGCAAAAACCAAGCCAATCTTGTTGAGTCCTACTTACCCTTCCCAACTCAAGTTTTCTACCGTTCCCGAGCTCCCAGGTGGGTTGGCTGCCCTTCTCTCTGCTCCCATGCTTGCCCACATTATGTAACATAAACACCATGTTGTAATTTTTAGCTGGCATCTCTATCTCACCTACCAAGGATCTGCATTCCTTGAGAACAGGGATTGTTCTATTTCCGTCGCGCCCAGTTTAAGGCCTCTTACAGAGTAGATGGATTCTCACAAGCCTACAAGGATTACTCCAACAGTGAATGTGCCCTCAGGGGGCTGGTGCCAGTGGAACCAAGCACTTCATGCCTCCTACACAATAGCGACAGGCTTGGCCTGCATAGGAAACTTAGACACCAGGCCAGCCTGCTGCCCACTCTGCCCTGAGACCCAAGAGGCTGCCAAAGATCGCAGCTCCAGCTGGCAAGTGGTAAGATTTTCTTCCTGGAAGGATTCTTGGCTTGAGAACTGGCCCTCGCCTCTTCTATCTTTCTTTGACAAGCTCAGATTGCTGGAGAAAGGGGGCAGGGGAGGGAGAGACTAGGGCAGCCCCAGTTTTGTTACGTTTCCCAATGCTCTGTGTCCTCCCCACGCTTATATTTTCCATACCTGAAGGTTAGTGGCAGGGCAGGCCAAACAACTGGTGACAGAAGAGTGGCAATGCCTCTGGCCACACATCTCTATCACTAACTTTGGGCTTCTTTAGCTTTAACTAGCCAAGGCACAGTGCAGCCCACCTGACTGAGGAGACCCACACGGGGTCCTCATGAAGAATTTGCCCCAGTGATGCATGGCACACAGAGGGTATGGCTCTGGTTGGACTATCCTTGTCTCTGTAAAAGCCCGTCAAAAAAAAAAAAAGAAAACCACAAACTTAATGTTGTTGAGTCAATTCTGCCCAGTAGGATTTCCAAAGCTATAAATCTTTATGAGAGCAGCCTGCCACATCTTCCTTCCACAGAGCAGCTGGTGGGTTCAAACCACCAACCTTTTGTTAGCAGCCAACTGGTTAACCACTGCAACATCAGTGTTCCTTAAAAGGCTGTCTTTAGAAAACCTTAAGCCCTTCAATAGGGACAGTACCATGCAGCCTCTCCCCTAGCCCAGAAAACACACACCCAATAACAGCTACTTTATTTTCTCTTTAATTTTTCTGAAGGATATACATCACATATCCTATGGGCAATAAAGCGCATTCAATGTGTTTATAAGCCAAACAATCACTTTGTTTAAGCAAACACATGTACAAAGTAAAAGAAAACCACAAAATAATGAACCGCATGTTCATAACATACAAAAATCGCCGCCTACTCAGTAGGTAACTACAACATTCCAACTCCTGAATATATTTATAAATTTACATTTTCAGTTAAAAAAATAGACTTTTGAGAGTTCAGATTTTGTTGTAGATTTTTTTTTCTTACATTCTGGAGAACCGAAGCTCAGCTCAGCCCTCTTCCTTGTTTTGCTCCCAAAGCCTCCCCCGAATCATCACTCCCTGCCCCCCTTAAGGCTAGAGGTGAGCACATCCCTCATAATTGCACATGTCAAGCTGTCAGCAAGGCGCATCACACAAAAGGCACCAAGACGTGAAACTTTTTTAAAATCAAAAGGACGACAAAATAAAACCACTTTCAAAAAAACAAAAAGAAAAGAAAAAAGAAAAACCAAACCATATTTTGCCACATGTGAGAGTACGGTCGGGCAATATTTACAAAATGGTTAACGGAACATCACTCTGATACATGCTCTGAGTAACATCTAGGACTGCTGTTTCAAAAAAAGCTTCAAACTCATTGTCACAGCATCATCACAAAATAGAGGATCACCATTTGTTCGCTTGGCTTTTCTTTTTTTTTTTTTTTTTTTTTTCTGTTTTTCCATAGTGAGGATTTGACTCCAAATAATACAATAGAATATGCAAATTATCTTCACATCAAGAATACCCCAAGAAAAACAAAATCCATGGCACAGACACTGTATAAGGTGCAGAGGTGGGCTCTGAGGGGCCCAAACCCCACTTTGCCAACTCAGTTTTCTAGCATTGAAGGGAGCAAGGGGGTCAGGCATACGATGGAAATGATACTGAAATGATATATCCAAAATCCATGCAAATCAAGTTCTTTGGATAGAGGTGAAGAACTTGAACATGGCTGTTTCAGGCAGCTGAAGTCAAAGAGAGGAGGAAGTGGGGAGGAAGGGGGAAGTGGGTAGAAAGGATTGTTGGTCAACAGACCTTCCACACTGACTTTGGGGTCAAGAAGGAGGAGGGAAGCACTAGGCTCTGAGAACCTCCATCTGACCTAAAAGCACCCCTCTCCTGTGGCCATCTCCTTCTCCTGTCCTGTAATCGCATATGTTTCTTTTTCTCCCCCTTTTCCTTTTTTGTTTCCTTTTCCCTTTAGCAAATTTCAATTGTCCTGGGAGAAAATGTTGCTGTCATGTCCGAAAGGCCTGTGGAGGCGGTGAATGAGTTGGTGACCGCTGAGGAAGGGAAGCTGCTGACTTGGGCAGGGAAAGCAGGGGGAACCGAGGAATACGTGGTGGCCACTGAAGGTGAGGGGAAGCCACTATGGACAGGGGATGGGTAAGTTGAGGAGCCAGGAGAGGAGTAGGAGGTGGGCACAGGCGATGGGTAAGAGGTAGTAACTGGGGATGGGTAAGAGGTAGCAACTGGGGATGAGTAGGAAGAGAGGGAAGAAGTGGCTGAAGAGGCCACAACACTTTTGTCTGCTTTCTTGTCCTTCTGCCGCAAGTGGATCTTGGTATGCCTTTTGCGTTCGTCGCTCCTGGCAAACTTTCTCCCACAGATGTCGCAGGCGAAGGGCTTCTCGCCCGTGTGGGTTCGGATGTGGGTGGTAAGGTGGTCACTGCGGCTGAAGTTGCGCATGCAGATGCGACACTGGAAGGGTTTCTGGCCTGTGTGGATGCGGATGTGGCGGGTAAGCTCATCAGAGCGGGAGAAGCGGCGGTCGCAGGACTCCACAGGGCAGGCGTAGGGGCGCTCATGGGGAGGCGTCTTGCTGGGCCGGTTGGGGTACTTGCGCATGCGGCTGGGTTTGATAAGCTGGGACTGATAGGTAGTGTTGAGGGCCTTCAAGTCCTGGGAGCCCGACTGTGTGGCAAAGGCCTTGATGGTGGAGAGTGGAGTGAGCGAGGGCTGCTGGGTACGGTTTTCCAAACCCTGGAAGGGTTTCTGGTCTGTGGTGCCTAAGCCCAGGTCACCCTGCTGCTGTGGAAACAGGTAGTCAGGGATCATAGGAACCTGGAAGCCACCCTTGGCAGCAGGGTAGGCAGGAGGCGGGTACTGGAGCGAGGTGCCAGCTGAACCAGGAAAGGCCTGGCTTTGTGGCTCCGGGAAGATGTCAGTGTTGGGTGTGGGGAAGGTGGGCGCTGCAGAGTATATGGGACTGCTGTCGCTGGACTGTACTGCACAACTCAGGGGCGGGCTCTGGGAAGCAGAGGAGGAAGAAGAGGAGGAGGAGGCCGCTGGAGAGGGTGCCGAAGATGAGGTGGCCGGTGGGTTGGTCATGCTCACGAGGCCACTGACCAGGCTGAAGAGGGGCTCAGGCCACAGGGTATTGCCACTGTTGGGTGCAGGCTCAAGTGAGAAGCGGCCAGTGTAGGTGATGGGGGGCAGCCGGATGGTTTGGTTGGGGTAACTTGTCTCCACCAGCACCTTCTCATTATTCAGAGTGATGTCAGGAAAAGACTCTGGCAGGAGAGAGAGAGGGGGAGGCCTGGTTACAGGAGAGCAATCACTGGAGAAGGAAGAGGACGCGAATTGCCAAGCAAGAGGTTGGGCCAGCTACCATTGACTCCCGAGCTAGTTAATAATTGATAGAAGCAGATTGCGATGTTCCTGGATGTGCTCCAGAGGCAGAGCCCATTTCAACAACAGCTGACGCAAATACAGAGAATCCCCTCCATTGCAGCTCACATCACTCCGCAGCGGCTGCTGCGCGGGGCTAGGGATTCCCGCCAGCACCCCCACAGCCGCCGCTACTGCGCGCCCCCTACTCCGGGCTGCCTGGACATCCCTGCCACGGATCAAGGCCCTTTCTTGGGGACAGGCAGAAAGCAAGCCAAGCCTTTCTGGAGGTGGGGGGCGCAGCCCTGCTCATCAAAACAAGTCCTCCCCCTCTGCACCCACCCACGCAGCCCTAGGGCTCTCTATCCAAAACAAAAGCTTGCTCCTCTGCGCACTGCTAGGCACAAGGAAGGGGGGAGTCCCTAGGCATCCCTCTAACACATGACCCTGGGGATAACAGGAATGAAAGGGAAACCCGTTCGCATCCCAAAGGACCAGAAGGGCTCCTGCTGTGAAGGAGGCGCTGCAGAGGCCGAGAGGAAGGACTGGATGCCAGGAAGAGGGCGACTGGACTAATTAATTCACAGCGCAGGCCACCGCTTACCTGCGGTCAGGTGCTCATAGGGCTGCTCGCCGGCCTCCCCCTGAGGGTTGAAAGCGCTGGTGCTGCTGTTGCCGCCGCTCCCTCCACCTCCACCGCCCCCGCTGCTGCTGCTGCTGTTACCGCCGCTACCCTCAGGGGCTCCGGCGGCACCAAGGAACTGGGGCGCCCCGTTGCTCAGCAGCATCATCTCCTCCAGTTTAGGGTAGTTGTCCATAGTGGGTGAGTGAGGAAAGGAGCCGAATGGATCGTTGATCTGCAGCGGGGACATCAGCTGCATCTCGGCCTTGGCCGCGGCCATCCCGGATGGGCGGGCTAACGAGCCGGTGTTAGGGTAGGTGGGTGCAGCCCAGAGCCGGAGCTGCGGGGGCACACTCGTGGGGGCCTGGCCGGGTCACATGCGGGGTGCGGGGCACACTGGAGAGAGCGCAGGCGGGGCCCCAGGCTCGCCCTCGCCGCGGGCTGGTGCGGACGCGGCGCTGCTGCGGAGGCTGGGGTAGGCGCCGGTCCTGCGGCGGCGGCGGGCGGTGGCAGCTGGCGGCGGCGACGGCGGCGGCGGCTCCCCAAGTTCTGCGCGCTGGGATCTCTCGCGGCTCCCCGGATCCGCCTCTATTTGAAGGGTCTGAAACCGCACGGGCCAGCCTCCGTCGTGACGTACATGGCCATATATGGGAAGCAGGAAGCCCAAATATGGCAGAACGGGCCGGGAAGACCCGGAGTGACGTGAAGCCCCCTATTGGAGAGTGGTGGGCACCCCCATCCTACACCCTGAGCCTCTCGCTGGCTCTCGCACCCTGGGAGCCCAAGCCTCGGGGAAGCCCGAGCTGTAGCTGGGGCCTCCCGGACCCAAGCTGCTCCCGAGTTCTCGGCGTTGCCCCCGCCCCTTCCCTCCTCCTTCTTCCCTCCTCCCGGAGCCGGAAGCAGCCGGGCCATATCGGAGCACACCAAATAAGGTGCTGCCCAAATAAGGATTGTTCCGGCGGGGGATCCTTCCTGCTCCTTATATGGCGTTTCCGGGTCGCTGCTTTTTTTGCTCCCTCGCTCCCGCCCGCCTCCCTTGTTCCAAGATGGGAGTCCGAGCACGCGCAGGATCGGGGGGCACCCGCGCGGGAAGGTCGCGGGGTGCAGAGCACAGGGCGCGTGGCCGCTCTGACGGTTCCCTGGCGGGGACTGGCGGGGAAAGCCCGGGGCGGGGGTGAGGGCATGTCGGGCCGTGGTTCTGCAGCCGTCATCGAGGACCCGCCCGCCCACCTCTGGGACCGTGGGAGCTAGCCGGGAGCCGGGGGGAGGAGCGGCTGGGCGGGCTAGGGCAGAGGATGCCCTAGAGAGGCGGGGCCTTGACCCCAGGCCTCGACCAATGGCACGGCATCTATCTAGGTGTCACGGGAGAAACTGAGGCTAGGAAATCCTGGCCCCATGGTTCCTGGGCCTCTGTGGGTAGCAGTGGGTCGCTTGCTTCTGCGCCACCTTCTAGTAGGATGGGGCTGCTTGGACCTAGGAGGCCCTTTGCGTCCCCGGAACCGAAAGGCTTGTTCCCTGATCTCCATCGGGGAAGAGCTGATGGGGTGAGGGGACCTGCTCTAGGAGACAATTGAGTCTTGTTCCCACCAGGGGCTGGTGGTCCTTGTGGTGGTGATGCTGAGGGACTTCACCACCCTTGTCCAGTCCAAGTGGAGGCGGGAGTCTGAAGAGAGGACTTCCCTACGGGCTGTGGACCCCACGCCAAGAAAGGAACCAATTTAGTGGCTCAGTGCTGCCCCCTGGAAGTTCACTCTGCAGCTCCACTCGGGGGCCCCTTGCCGAGCGGGCTCTTCTGCCGCCTTCTCACTCTCAATCTTGGTTGCTGTGTTTGGCACCCAGCCAGGCCGGGGGAGCCTTAGACGCAGTGAGAGCGAACTGAGCAGGCGCCGCAGCCTGGGCTCTCCCTGCAGTCCCTGAGGAGCCGCCACAGCCGAGGCGGCCAGACTTCGGGATGGCACACCGCCCTCCCCGAGCCATATAGCAGGGACTGCGGGGGTGGGGCGTGGGGGGATTCTCGCGGGTCTCCTAGGAGTAGAACGCGAACAGGAAAGCCTTCCCCGCAGTCGAATGCGCACCCCAAAGGGAACAGGGATTCCGGGAAGGGAAGCTCCCTCTCTAGTTTTGAATTCAGGGGAGGTGCTGGTTTTTTTTTTTTTTTTCTTTCTGAATTTAAAAAGCAGCAGGTGCGTGTATGGAAAGAGTATGTGAAGATACCGGGAGAGGAGGGGGTGAGTCAGGTCAAGGGTCGCCATGAGGGTTTTGATTGAGGAAGGACTAACTCTTTTGGGCTTCATCTCTTTGTATCACGCCTACATCCCCCCCCCACACACACACACATTTTCTTACAAAAATCTACTTAAGGAATCCAGCAATGAAGTAGAATGTCTCTAGTTCTTGCCTCTGGGTTCTAGATCTGGGGTCTTCATGCCAGAGACTATGGGTAGGTGACATTTCCATTGTCCACTGATTTGCAGATTTGTGGCAGAAGCTGTGGTGGTCTGCTGCAGGGCAGGAAGGGCAGGCCAGCAGGGTCAGATTGTCCTGTGTTGGAATGCTCATTTTGCTATAGGTAGGGTTGCTTGGCCAAGCTTTTTGTGTCTCACGTTCCTCACTGTAAAACTGGCACATATATATACATACATGTATATATCAATATGTATATAAATAATTTTAATTGTGATTTGGGTGAAAGTTTACAGAGCAAATTCATTTTCATTCAACATTTTTTTATGTGTGACATTGATTGTAATCCCTACAGTGTAACAGTTCTGTTCCCACTTCCTCCCTGTGGTTACCCTGTTCTTTATGCATTCTTGCCCTCTGAGCTTTCTCTCTTTGTAAATGCTGCCCTTCTGATTTCCCATGGTTGACTGTTTAAAGGAGGGTGCCTTCCTGGTGTAGTTGTTCACCTCCTAGGCTTGTGTGTTGTTTGGCTGGAAGTTAAGCTGGGGAGTGAGTTCAATTCCAAGCCTGAAGGGTGACTAGGGGCCATAGATGGAGTCTCTATCAGACCAGTAAGCCTGGTCTTTTATTATTATTATTATTTTGGTGGTTTTGAGTTTTGTTCCACATTTTCCTCCTGCTCTATCCAGGAGCTCCAATTTTGATCCCTTGCTAAGTATTTGGCAGTGGTAGCTGGGCATCATCTGGTTCTTCTGGTCTCAGAGACATGTAGGCTGAGGTTCCCATGGTCCCCTAGTCCCTTGGACTAAATGTTTCCATGTGTCATTGGTTTTCTTTGCCCTTCTTTTCTCTGGTTGAGGAGAGACCAGTTGTTGCATCTTGGATGGCCTTGGGTTAATATCAATAATACCCACATTGAAGGATTGTTGTGAACACAAACTTTCACAGGCTGCCATCTAGGATGCATTAATCTCCCCAGCCATAGTGATTGAGCCAGGATGGCACATGACCTAAATCTAAATCAGGCCAATGAGAATCACTTCTGGGACTTTTTCCGGAACTCTTGGGAAAGAGGAATTCTTTTCCCCTGATGGTAATAAGCCTGGAGGCCATCTTGCCATCAGCACCGAAGAGCCTGTCTCCAATGCAGAGGAAATCAGAAGAGAGACACGTACAGGGAGTCAGTCCCTGGATACAGCCTGCCTGGACTTTTTGGTTATTTAAGCCAATGAATTTTTTTTTTTTTTTTAATTTTTGCAGTGTTTCTTCCCTTCCCTTTCTACCTCTGGTAACCAACATGAATTATTTTTTATTCAATTCAGTTTGAGTTCAGTTTTGGTTACTTACAACAGGTTTTGAGTAATATACCCACTATCAACAACAGCAAAAAAAAAACCCTTTTCTGTGGGCAAGGCCTGGGAACAGGGACTGAGGCATAAACCCTGCCTCTAAGGAGCTTCCAAAGTTTGGTAGAAGGAAGCCTGCATTCTATATTACAGGAGAACTAAGAATAAAAAGTTAGCCACCAAAAGCCAGTGACTCTAAGGGACATAAGAAATAAGAGAAGGAGGACTAGAAGGAGGGCAGGGAAGATTAAGAGGATTTACAGGAGAAAGTACATGAGAAGGACCAAATTTTGAGGTGAGAAAGTGAAAGTCTATTTTAGGCAGAAGATGGGGGTGTGGTGGGGAGGAAGGCCCATGTGTGGGCTATCTGGGGAAAATGGACTGGAGTGGAGAGGGTTCTGCTGGGGAGTTGTGGGAAGCAGGCTTGAATGAAGCAGTCATTCTTTTTAAAAAAGGTTTATATAGATAGTTCTTTAAAAGAGCTCAATGCTCATAGCAAACATTCTTTACTAATTTAGCTATATGGTTGTTTTGTTAAAGATGATCTAAAGCATGGATGAGAAGTTTAGGGAGTAATGAATCTACGTCAAATGGTGGTGAAACAATATGGAAGGAGATGGCCAGAATGGTGACACCAAGTGAAGAATGCAACCAATGTTATTGAATTGAACATGTAGAAACCAATGAATGGGTGCTTGTTCTGCTATGTATATTTCCACCAAAAATTTCAAAAAGGTTTGTTGGCCCCACTGCTTATATCAGAAGGAGCCCTGGTGGCACAGTTGCTTAAGTGCTTAGCTGCTAAACAAAAACTAGACAGTTCAAATCCATCAGCCAGTCTGCAGGAGAAAGATGTGGCAGTCTGCTTCCGTAAAGATTTCAGCCTTGGCAACTGTATGGGGCAGTTCTATTATGTCCTATAGGGTCGATATGGGTCTGAATCAACTCAATGGCAATGAGTTTGGTTTGGTTGTTTGTATCAAGTCCTAGGGATCCTGCAGTGAGACAGGGTCTTTGCCCTCATGGGTTGTTGTTGTTATTTGCCATCGAGTCGGCCCCGACTCCTAACAACCCCTCCTTGGGTTTCCAAGGCAGTTATCGCTACGGAAGTAGGATTGCCCAACCTTCCTTCCGAGGAGTGGCTGGTGGGTTTGAACCGCCAGCCTCCTGGTTAGCAGTCAAGTGCCTTAGGCACTATGCTACCAGAGCTCCTGCCCTCATGGGTTAGACGGAAAGAAATAGTTAAGGAAATAATAAGGATAATTTCAGATTATGGAAACAAGACAAGCAAGGGGTGAGTTACAGGGGCAGGGCCAGTGGCAGGGAAAGGTCCTGTGAGAGGTGAGAGAGATAAAGGATGGCAGAGGAGTGCAGTGGGTGGGAGTGTTCTAGGCAGAGGGCGCAGCTGTGCTAAGGCCTCAGGAGGGAGAGAGCTTTGGCCATCATCAGTGTAGAACCTCAGGCTAAGGTATGGGCAGCAAGAAAGTTCAGGGTTCAAGCTGTTCCCCCCGCACTCTCCCTTGTTCTGCCCTCTATACTCTGTGTAGAGAAAAAGGTGGTCTTCTGGGGTTTCTGCTCCTGAAAGGCAGCTTCTTCACAGGAACAGTGAGAGGAGCAGATCTCAAGCTCCTATGTGTTGCCCAGACCTTAGTCGTCCTTGCTATGAGACAACTGAAAAGCAAGGCCAGAAAGCCTCCTCCCTGAATATCATAATGCCGCGGACCTGACTTCGCTGTAGCAGGACTGGGGGCATCTCAGTCATCCTCACTCTCCTCTGGTCTGTCTTTTGGCCAATGACACACTTTT